TGGTTTCATAGGTTCATAGCTGGAGAGGAGTTTTGTCCCAGGATGAATTATATCCTGAGTTTTAGCCATACCTAATTTAGATATTTAAGATGAGATTTTGAACTTAAGGGTTGATGCTGAAATAGATTTAGGACTTTCTGGATGTCCTATATCTATTAGGGTGAATTTATTGTGCATGTGAGGACATGAATTTTGGGGGATATGGTATTGTGAAATATTTAGTCTTAGACCCTGTTTCCTGACATATGGCTCCTAAAACTCTGGAATCTCTTGAGTGATTAGAGTATCTGTCATATGCTAATGAAACAACTGGTAGCTGGGGAATCCCCGGGTAGCTTCAGGATGTGTGTGCCGGCCATTAGAAAGACCAAGACATGATTAGAGGTTTGGGACTTTTAGCCCCAACCTTGATCTCTGGGAAGGGAAGAGGGGCTGAAAGTTGTGCCAGTCACCAATAGTCAATGGTTTAATTAATCATGCCTATGTAATGAAGCCTCCATAAAAGCTCAAAGGACTGGGTATGGAGAACTTTGGGATAGCTGGAAGACTGCATGCCCAGAGAAGGCATGGAAGCTCCATATTTATTCCCACATGCCTTGCCCACTGTATCTCTATCTGGCTATTCATCTGTATCTTTTACAATAAACCACTAAACCCAAGTGCTATGGTTTGAATGTCCCCTCCAAAGCTTATGTTGACATTTAATTGCCAATGTGACAGTCCTGGAAGGTGAAGCCTGTAAGAGGTGATTAGGCCAGGAGAGCACTGTCCTCAGGAGTGTTGTTATCACAGGAATGGGTTAGTTATCATGGGAGGGGGTTAGTTATCATGGGAGGGGGTTCCTGAAGAAAAGGATGAGTTTGATCTGATTTTGTTTCTTGTACTCGCTGCCCTTCTGACATATTATGATGCAGCAAGATGGCACTCACCAGATGTGGCCACTTGATCTTGGACTTCCCAGGCTCCAGAAGCATGAGCCAAATAAACCTCTTTTCTTTATAAATTATTCGATCTCAAGTACTCTGTCACAGCAGAATGAAACAGATAAAACAGTTAAGTGTTTCCATGAGTTCTGTGAGCCACTCTAACAACTAAATTGAACACAAGAAGAAGGTACTGGCAGCCCTGATTTTATATAGCTGGTTGGTCAGAAGTACAGGTGACAATCTACAACTCGCAACTGGCATCTGAAGTGGAGGCAGTCTTGTGGGACTGAGCCCTTAACCTGTGGGATCTAATCCTATCTCTAGTAGGATAGTGTCTCACATAGACAGACTTACAGGACCCCCAGCGAGTGTCTACTGGAGAACTGATTGGTTGCTGGTGGGGAGAATTTCCCACAAATTTTCGTGACAAGATGTGAGGCATTCAGTATTGAGTGACTGGGTAAGAGCAAGAGAAAACACTTTTTTATCTCAGTGGGACCAGAGGGCAAGCTATTATGGGTTGAACTGTAAAGCCCCAGAATTCCTATGTTATAGTCCTAACCCCTGGAATCTCATAATGTGACTATTAAGGACTGGACTGTTTCCTTCCTAAATTTATGTTGAAGCCCAACCCCCACAATATGAGGGCATTTGGAGAGGAGGTCTTTGGGAGATAACTGGTCTAAATGAAGTCATGAGGTGGGACTCTCATGATAGGATTTGTGTCCTTATAAAGAGAGACACTCTCTGCCATGTAAAGACATGATGAGAAGTTGACTACCTGCAAGCTAGGAAGAGAGCCCTCACCAGAACCCAAACATGCTGACCGCTTGATTTCAGACTTGTTTCCTCCAAACTATGGGAAAATAATTGCTGCTGTTTAAGCTACCCTGTCATTCTGTTTTGGCAGCCTGAGATGACTAATATAGAGAACTTATTTGGGAACAAGGTAAGATGAGGTCATTAGGGTAGGCCCTAATCCAGTATGAATGGTGTCCTTATAAAAAGAGAAAACTTGCACACAGAGACAGACATTCATAAAGGGAAGATGACGTGAAGAGACAAAGGGAGAAGATGGCCATCTACAAGCTATGAAGGCCTGGAACAAATCCCTCCCTCACAGCCTCAGAAGGAACCAACCCTGCTGACACCTTCATCTTGGACTTCCAGCCTCCAAAACTGAGATACAATAAATTTCTGTTGTTTAAGCCACTCAGTTTGTAGCACTTTGTTGCAGCATCCCTAGCAAACTAATCCAATGCCCCTGAAAAACTTTGGGTAGCCTGGTTGCCTGCCAGGAAATACGGAACTTGTGAGATCCCTACATGCTTGGGAAAAGAGATACATGTTATTTTACTAAGAAATAATCTTCTATGTTGAAGTTCTTCATTTTAATAAATTAAGTTTTAAAAACAAAAATTTGCTATGCCTACAGAATCAAAACTCATAAATGTACTAGTTGCTATTCTTTGCTACATATATTTGAAAGTTTGGTATTTATTGTTTATGCAAAATACTGTCATTTCTTTTTACTTCACTCAGTATTAAATTTAGGTTGAAACTAACACTTCCATTGACTTTGGTATTTTAGAAGATTATTCAATATGCTTCTTTTTTGAAATAATGCCAGATGTTCACATTAATTTAGATACCTGCTGATGTGTTACTGCATGACAAGCAATGCAAACAATTGAATATATTAGAAAACTTAGAAAAATCTTTTAGAGTTTATGATATTAAAAAATATTTTCAGCAACAAGCTACTGGAGATTCAAGTATTTGGTTTTCAGTTACAAAAGAAAGTACTTTAAAGACTATGGTAGAAACTGAAGCCAGTGCTTTTAATACAATCTCCATGGCAACATGGGAAGGATCACAGCCTGGTGGGCTGAATGAAAGCCACAAACTCTCAATTTCAGACCCGAGCATTAACTTACATAGAAAGCCATGTTCATATCTTGGCATTTCATCTCTGCTATTTATGCAAGAAAAGGACATTCCCTTAGTCCTATGTACTTGATATACTCATTTTATGAAATTAATACTATTAGTTAATACTATTATATTTATGTTCTGAAACAACAGAAGATTAGTCACTCTATATTTCTAAGATGTAGCAGGGAAATTAAATAGTAAATGGAAAATTCGAGAACTGACTGAATTCCTCAAATTTCTTATAAAGATAATATAAAAGTGATTTCATTTGAAGGATCTAGTTTATTTTCATAAATGAACTGCCATGATAAAGTTTAATTTTAAAAACAGGTATTCGGAATTTGATTGGTTACTGAGCATCCTGACCATATCATTTTGTTTATGTTGTCATATTTTCAGTAAGGAAATGTCTTCTACAGGAAATTATATAATAATACATAAGGGTTTTAACTGTAGTTTAATGAATTAGTTAAGATTTTCCTGTGATGTCTTGCTAATATAAAGATCATTTGCTAAAAACAGAACAAAAAAAAGAAAAAGCCTCTGAGCTATAAAAATAGATAATAATAGTTAACATTTGCTTAATATTTATTACATGCCAGATACCATCCTGGGCTTTTTGCAGGGATGATCACATTTAATTCTCACAATAACCTTATTAAACAGATACTATTATTACTCCCATTCCATTGACAAAAATACTAAGCTCAGGGATGGTAAATTGCCTGAGGTTGCCTTGTGGAGTTAGAATCAGGGCCTATCCATTTGACCACGATATGCTTCTCATAAATGTGTCTGTTAATTTCATTAATGTAGTAATACATTTGGACCCCAATTCAGTTCTTTTTATTCTAATTTAAATGCAATCCCACCAAATTGGTTATCTGATCACCTTAGAAGTATCAAATTAGAAAGATTTGGAGTAGGGCTCCTGTAAGCAGGAAACATTAAAAACACAGAAGATTGAAATAGGAACTAAAGTATAGCAAAACAGGATTCTCCAGAGCAAGAAAAAGAAAAATACAGTTTTGGGACAGAGAGGGTAGAGCTATGGAAATGGGAACTACCATTTGTTGAATACCTCTCTTAAGTGCCAAGTGGGTGCCTTTCTCATCTGCCAAGCCTCACGTGGCCCTGTCACGCAGGCTGTTGTATCCACATTTTGAGAAGTCCCAATAGCCCACCCACGTTCTCACAGCAGAAGAGCCAGGCTTGTCGGGTGCAAAGTCCATGCTCTGAACACTGCCCCATGCTGCCTACCTTGTACGGATTAAGAAACGAAGGAAAGAAAGAAAATCTTGGAAAGGTTTCTATTAACATGATTACAAGTGAAATGCTTTTTGGCTCTGAAGAGGGATAATGGCTTCAGTTACCTGGAAAATTTACTCATCTGAAATATATTTGATGGTGATAAATAAGGTACTATAGTACTTTTTCTTAACTTAAAAAAATTCAATCTTAGAAAAAGTTTAAATTTAGTTTCCTAAATTTAGGAAGCCCATAAACTAAGGTTGTGCAAATGGGGGATTTTTCATTTGATGACTTATCTTTAGCTGCTATTCTTTTTTTAAAGTAACAGTATTGGGGTTTTGTTTAGTGAACATTGTTAGCAAATTCAAAGCAAATGTGCTAAGAAATAGAGTGGCATGATAATGCCACTTGGAAGGGTTAGAAACTCAAAACAGAAACACGTGTGTTCATTATGCACATGCACACACACACACACACTCTCGTGCACACACAACTCAGCCACACATTTTCACTTAGCAACACCAACTAAGTGAAAGAGCTGGGCACATCCCATTATACAACACATTTTTTTTCCTTTGCATTCCTTATTGCCTAAAGGCTACTATGAATAGGGAAATAGAAGGAAAACATTCTCACAAAGAATGAGATCCTGTAAGTAATATATACAATAAAACTGTCTAGCATATGACCAAAAAGTTAACTAATAAAGGCAAGTCCAGTTTTCTTGTGATGTTTAAAGTGTGCATCGTTTCATTTAGCTGTTTCTCAGGAAGCATGTTATGCCCCTTTAAAACTGCTGACTTAATGCTTTCATGCACAGCCTCTCCCCTCCCTGCCCAGCACCCCCTGCCTGGGTGTAAACCCTGGTGCCCACTTAGGCATGATTACCCCTGGTGCAGCCCTGCCATTGGTGTCTCTCTCAAGGGAAAGAGCTTCGGGTAGACGATGGTAAACATAGGCTCACTACACCGATGACAGTGCCCCAGAGGGCAGTGCAGCAGCTCCAGGAGACTTCTGGGTAATGAGATTGGAGACAGAAAGTTCAAATCTGGAACACAAGAGAAAATCACACACAAGTAAAAAAATCAGACCTCCTTAAACCTGGCTTCTCAAAATATTTATCTTTGTTACCAAATAAGTTCAGTTACTTAAAAGTACTTCATGTTGAAAATTCTGTGTCTGATTTATAGGCACTGAATAAAAATCTAACATCATTTGGAAACGAAAGGAGTATTTTATATTTTTGATACTAAAAGAAAACACAAATTCACTCATTTTAAGAACAACCAGAAGCTGTCCTGAGGTAGAGGCAAGGAATGAGAGAGAGAAAATATTTTTTAAGAACAAAGATCAAAAGGCATAATTCACCCAAAGAGGATTTTGCAAACTTTAATAAGAGTCAGAGAATTTTAAACATACTGGAACTGAAGACTAAAACTGACTCATTAAGTTGCTCCCTAATCTATATGGCATTCAGTATCAATCATCCACCAGGGCTAAATCATATTTATTGAAGAGAATGAAAAGGAGGAAATGAAAAAGAATGAAAAATAATGAAACCAAGCTTTTCCTTGTTTCACTCCCACAAGCTGTAATTAATAAAAATAGAGAGCTTCCTTCCCAGCTTAGTCTGAGCTACACAAAAGAGATGTTTAAAGCAAAACATCCCAGTGACCGAGGCAATCTTGAGGACACATTTACACTGGGTTTCTACTGATGATGAATATCCAACAGAGAGAGAAATGGTCATGCTGAGCTGCAATCGAAAAATTATCAATCCATCTTTGGGAAGGAAATACAAATCATCTTTTTACCTTTTTCATCCATCCAGACTCATCAGTAACACTTAGAAAAATGGAATTTACTGACTGGTGAACAACTATAGTTTTCTGTTTAGTTTTTAAAACCAATTTAACTTTGCACTAGGCATTTCTGGAAGGTTAATGTGAGATGTTTTTGTATGGACTCTGTTTTCTAAGTAAAGATGAAACATTTCACAGTTTTAAAAACACTTGAAATGTATTTTTCATATTAATATTGCCTAGTGCTGTCTTAAAGCATTTCAGACATACACCCACAATACCTATCAAACCCGTGCACTGCCAAATCCTTTCCAAATTTTAGCCGGCACGCTGCAACGATACTGCCAACAGCTCCCGGTGCTTCTCCTCCTTTAGGTATACACATTGCTCAGATGCGAGGAGGTAGCAGAGGGAAAACCTGCTCTACTGATGTATCCAACTTGAAGGACAAGATCTTTCCAAATTTCCCCTACTGCCAGCTTTTACTTCAACCAAATACACATTCCCAAACACCAAGTTCCTTCCTTGAAACCACACAGTGGAACTTTAAATCACTGTCCTTACAGCTGACAACCACATTTTAAAGAATGCTTCTGTCTGTGGGGGATGCTAAAGTGATCAGTGTTAATAAAATATCAAAACTATTTTTCTTATTAGAAAAATCCTGTTGCACAACAATGTGAATGTACTTAATGCCACTGAACTGTACATTTAAAGATGGATAAAATGGTGACTTTTCTGTTATGTCCATTTTACCACAATAAATTTTTTTTAAAGATGAAAGACAAAACAGGTACACAAAGCACAATGTTCACTAAATGAGACAGAAAAATTAAAAAACAAAACAAAACAAAACAAAACAGAAGTCCCATGTACCTTTCAGAAAGCTGTGGTAGGTATGATACAGACTTCTCATGGCCAATTCCTGCAGAGGGAGGACGTGATCATGCTCTGTCCCTATGGCCTTCACCTCGGCTGGGAGGAAAACGGTTCGAGGCCCTGATGAAAAGGAAAGCAGCTTCACCTCGGAAACTTGAATGGGAGCACCACAGCTGCAGAAAGACACACATTCACAGTATTATTAGCAATAAGGAAAAGAATACGGGTGCCAATAAACTGTGTTAATCAAAATATACATTTGAAAATTTATGACACTGCTGAATTGCCAGAATTCTTTTCAAAGTGAACAGATGCTACCCCGGGTTCCTTCATAAAACCTGGCCTAGAAATCTAAACTCATCAGTTGGAACTTAGCTAAATCATTGCCGAGGACCAGTCACTTCCAGTGAGGACGAACTTTAAAGGAACTTTCCTTCTTAGGCTTTACACAATTTTCTTTGTAAATTCTACTTTTCCCCATTTTATTACCCTTTCCAAGTATGTGTTTTTTTGAAACTCTCAAAAAAAGAATACTTTGTTGAGTAATAGCATCTTGGTTTAATATAATTTTTGTATAGAAAAACAAACCCACAAAGCAAATAGATTTTAAATGGCAGAAGATAACTTTATTGGACCCTTCCATAAACTTGTGGGGAAAATATTCCTGGCATACTCAATAAGCCAAGTATCCATTTACCCACACCACCATCATTAGAACAAGATGTTATCAGTCATTTTAGTTTTTGCTAGGCTGATTAATGGAAATGTCTCCTTGGTTACCAATGAGTTTGATCACCTTTTGTTAGGTTTACTGGCCATTTATATTTCTTTTTCTGCCAACTGTCCATTTGCATCCTTTACCTGATTTTCTACTGAATTAAAATATATCCATTTGTAGGAACTTCCATATTGGTGGTAACAATCTTTTGTCATATGCACTGAAATATTTATCACCAAAAATGTTTTTGCCTTTTAACTTTGCATCTGGTTCCCTTTGCCAGCAGTCATTCTTTTCTCGTGTGAAATCTATCCACTTATTTCCTTCATGGCATCTACATTTTCTGAATTTCTCAAGAGGGTTACCCTAATTTGAAGACTATGCATATATTATCCTAAGGTTTCTTCCAGTATGTTTATTGTATTTTTACATGGAGTTTTGTTTCTTTTTTTAGACAGAGTCTTTCTCTGTCACCCAGGCTGGTGTATAGTCTGCAATCTGAGCTCACTCCAACCTCTGCCTCCTAGGTTCAAGTGATTCTCCTGCCTCAGCCTCCCAGAAATCTAGGATTGCAGGTACCTACCACCATGTCTGGTTAATTTTTGTATTTTTAGTAGAGATGGGGTTTCACCATGTTGGTCAGGCTGGTCTTAAACTGCTGACCTCAAGTGATCAGCCTGCCTCAGCCTCCCAAAGTGCTGGCATTACAGGTGTGAGCCACCACACCTGGTCTTTACATGTAGATGTTTTAGCTATTTGTCTTACTTGGTTATATAATATAAAATAGGACACAATTTTTTTTTCTTTTACCAAATGGAAAAATAATACTGGTAGCATTATTAAACAACACTATCATTTACCTCTGAATTAAAATGTTCTCTTTATCATATTAAGTTCCCATATACCCTGGCACTGGCTTCTGGATTCTTTAGTCTGTTTCAGTGATGCATTAATTTAACTCTGTGTCAACTCTATAGTGTTTTGATTATAATACTTTATAGAAGAGTCTATCATTTGATAAGTCTGCCTTAACTATTCTTGTTCAATTTTTTTCTTGCAATTCTCAGTTATGATTCAATTTGAACTTTGTAATTATTTTATCTACATTTCCCTAAAGAATTCCAGAGATTTGAATTAGAATTAACATTGATTTCTATGTTAAGACAGGTAATTTGATAATAAATTTCCTTATTTGCAAACATGGTATGTCTGTACTATCTAGCTAGTGCTTTATATCCTATCCTTTAATACAAATTTCACAATTCATATAGATTGTTCCTTTGTTGTGAAATTTATTACTAGATATTTAAATGGGTGGTACAAATATGAATGACATTTTCCCCCAACTTTGATTTCTAATTATTGAAGACATAAAGAAAAGCTGTTGATCTTTGTATTTTATCTTATATTTAGTCACCTTACTAAATTCTTTTATGTGTCTGAAAAAAAACTTTTTTGGTAGAATATCTTAAGTTTTCTAGGTATTCAAGCATATCACCTATAAAAATCTGTCTAGTTCTTTTTTCCCGATATTTATATTGTCTATTTCCTTTTTTTCCATCTTATTCCATCAGACAGATGGTAGGGACAACAATGGGTCCTCACTCCTCTCCTATTCCTGATTTTAATGGCTATAGTTTGAATATATCATAATTTAATATAAAAATTATTATTGGCTGGGCACAGTGACTTACACCTATAATCCCAGAACTTTGAGGGGCTGAGGTGGGCAGATCACAAGGTCAGGAGATAGAGACCATTCTGGTCAACATAATGAAACCCCATCTCCATTAAAAATACATAAAATTAGTTGGGCATGGTGGTGCATGCCTGTAATCCCAGTTACTTGGGAGGCTGAGGCAGGAGAGTTGCCTGAACCAGGGAGTCAGAGGTTGCAGTGAGCTAAGATCGTGCCACTGCACTCCAGCCTGGGTGACACAGCAAGACTCTGTCTTAAAAAAAAAAAAAAAAAAAAAAAAAAATTATTATATATGGCTACAGAATTCACCAAAAGTGTTTCTTAACATACCAATATAATCATGTTTGTTTTTCTTTAATATAATGTTGAAGTAACAAATTATCAGTATTTTAAGATAAACTTTAAAATATTTAAAACATTATTTAAAAATATAATCATATAGAAAAAGTACACAAATTGCAATTGCTCTGTGATTTTCACAAGATGAACACACTAATCACACCAAGGTCAAGAACAAGACCCTCAGAAGACCACCTTGGGTCTCACTGCTAAGCAAAACCCATACCCCAAAGGGAACCACTATTTCAAATTCTAACACTATCGCCTGGTTTGGCCTTTTTGAACAGCATGAAGGTTGCTGTGCCTGGTTTCTTTCGTCAACATTATATTTTTACAATTCATCCATTTTGCTGTGTGTACTGTAGTTTATTCATTTTCATTGCTGTGTAGTAGTGTGGAACTACTACAAACCGTGCCTCCATAAAAATTATGTATTTTATTTGGTACATATGAGCATATACATTTGTGAGGACAACACTTAAGATCAGAACTGGGCCTATTACAGTGAGGAGAGACACACATTAGTATATAATAAGGTAGAGTGAGAGGAGAGTGAGAGCTGTATGACTTTTGATAGCACCCGAATAATGACCTTTTCTTCTTCAGAAAGTATGCTTTGTCATCTACATGTGCATTCTTGTGGGAACTGCTACAGATTTATCCTTCTCCTTTTTAGCAAAAAAGTTTTTCTTTAGCAAGAGTAAAAGGAAAGGGGAGAAGTGGATATGGAGATGGAAAGAAACTATGTCACCTAGAAAGAATAAACCTTGGCTTGGACAAAGAGTCTGTCATCTTGGCAGAGCTACTTAGGCTAATTTCTGTTCTGAGAATGTATTTATATAATTCTGAGTTGACTTTTTTCTTTAGCACTTATAAAATATAGTTGTACTGTTTTCTGGACTTCAAAGTTTCTGATGAGACATTAAAAATCTTTTTGAATTGCTCCTCTGTATATAATATTATTTCTCTGGTTGCTTTTGAAATTTTCTTTTTATCTTTTGTTTGTTTCAGCTTTGCCTATGCATAGTTTTCTTTGAATTTATATTGCTTAGGATTTGCTACACTTCTTGAAAATGTAAATTTGTTTCTAATCAAATTTGGGAAATTTTCAAACATTATTTCTTCAAACATGTTTGCTGTTGATGTTACCCATTCTCTCCCTATTTTCCTTCTAGGATGCCAATTATACATGCATACGACTCTTTTATATTGGCTGGCAGGTCCCTGGTGCTGTGTTCATTTTTGTTTTCAATGTATTGTCTGTGTGTCCTTCAGATTGGATCGTTTCTATTGATCTACCTCCAAGTTGAGTGACTTTTCCTCTCTGTTACAACCATTCTGCCATGAAGTCCATCAAGTTAATTTTTTACTTCAGACACTGTATTTGCAATTCTAGATTTCCTTTTTTTTAAATAGTCTCTATTTTTCTGGCCTTTTCATTCATTACTTCATTGAGAATAATTATAACAGCTGCTTTAAAATCCCTGTTTGTCATTTCAACAATTTCGGTCATTTCAAGTTGGAGTCTCTGCTGGTCACCATTCTTCTGGAGAATGGGTCACATTTTCCTGATTCTTCATATGTCTTGTAATTTTGGAATGTTTTCTGGATATTGTGAAAGTTATATAGAGACTCTGGGTTCTCTTACATTCCGCTAACACTTAAAAGTAATTAATATTTTTGTTTTAACAACAATTAACTTTATGGGCATCAAACTACATACTCAGTCTCTTAAATGACAGTTCCAATCACACTTCAGTACTTTCATCTGCAGCCAGGCCACTTTGGTCCTGCTCCATGGTTTTGGGTATCCGATACTGGGGGCAGGCAGCCCCTACATAAAAATGGGACTACTTTTAGTATACTGGTTTAATTCAGAACTCAGAATACATTTCTCATACAAACAACTCTATTATGCTCAGTGGCTATATTAATAAACCATTAGAATAATATTTAACCAATTTGGACACAAATCCAGCTATAATTGCTTGTTTACACAAGAAAAAGTAAAGCAGCGGCTTTTTTTCTTTCTTTCTTTCTTATATAATCAAACAACTGGAAAAAATCATCCTGTATAGGATCACTTTTACCATTAAGTTCTCCTCAGTAAGCAAATGTGCCAATTACCATTCTCTAAAATTCTAATATAGGATGAGCCTCTCTTTCTGGCCATAATGTAGAAGCACTGGAGACATTTACTCCTGTAGTAAGAAAAACCCAGAAAAAATAAAGATCTTTTATTTCCATAAGGCTAACAAATAGCATAGATGCCAAGAAGCTGTGACAGCCAGTCTCCACGTGGGCTGTAGTCCCCTCCTACTGTGAATAGGGTTGACCTGTGTAATCAACAGGATATAACAGAAACAACGGTGTGTGGCTTTGAAGCTAGGTCATAAAACACAGTTCCATGCTATACATTTCCATCATTCTACCTCTCTCTTAGGGTATTTATTATTTGTATTATAGTTATTTTTGCATATCAAGATAAACATCTAAACTATCTTTGTTTTTCCCACAATTTCTAGCACTGTGCTGGTCTGCTAATGTTGACTAGTTATTTGACAAACAACTAAATACAGAATAAGGAGAAGCTAACTTTTTTTGCATTTCCATGAATACCAAAGATAATTTTATGAGACTCTGAGATTTCTTAAAACTGCAACATTTGTTATTTACTATTTTTATACCTGTTTATAAGTTTTATACCCCATTCTCTCTCTGTTCTCCCTCTGAGATGTGAATCTGACATACATATGTGTATATCTGACTTTTCTTACACTGTCCCACAAGTCCCTAAAGCTGTGTTCATTTTGCTCAGTTGTTGCTCTAATTCTTGGCCCCTCAATCTGAAAAGGGTACTGCAATTGTTTCAGAGCTTGTACAGCACAGAAGCAGCTGTTCTTATATCCTTCGCCTACATCTGGGCCAGATGCAACATATGATAGCAGTGAAGAATCAAAGGAGTTGATCTTTCAGGTCTCAAATCACTTCCTTCAAGAGGACTAGCACCAACTTTGTTCGATTATTTAGGGTTTGCTTGACTCCCTGGCTGGACCAGAAGGTCCATGAGGGTCGGCACGGTGTCACTTAGCGCATCACTGTACAGCCATTATCTCATACGGTGATCAAACACAGTAGTTGCTCAATAAATGTTCACTGAAGAAACAACTGGACCAAGATTCTTGTTCTGAATCAAGAAGGGCACTTTCTAGGCTTCAAATACACCAACATCCTTTTGCTAGATTTCCTCCAGAGCCTTGTGCTACTACTCCTTCCCTCTCCTTTCCTTTAGGCTGAGGCACTAAGCACTACCAATTTGAACTGGAACCGGAAAGTCCCTTTTCGCGTATCCAACAGATAAAAGAGGCAGAAGAAAGCAGATTCTTAATGCTGTGGTCAAAGCTTCAGTAGTTACCATCTATTAAAATTCTGAACACATTTTGCCATAGAAATATTATATGAATATAATTTTTTTGGGTGCAAAATAGGTCAAATGACTCTTTAATGAGTTTGCTTAGGAATGTAAGGGCCAGAGCTGTTTGTATGAAGAAAGCATTCTGAGTTTTGAGTTAAACCAACAGAGTAAAAGTGCCTTTAGATTACAGGCCATTTGTAAGTATGGCTGCTTATTCCCCCAATTCTTCTAATATTAGAAAACTGGTTGTATGATACTATCCTGTTAATAATAATTTTATTTCTCTATTACTACTAACAAAAGTTTAATAATAAAAAAGTAGACTACTACCTAATAATTTGTGTATTTTCCCGTTTTGTTTTTCTAAAAAGATTTGGTGTTCTCATCAAATTCACTACCACTGCTACCAGATACCAAGTCAAAGATTTCAAAATATCTCTCTACTTAGCACAAATAGAACATTCTAGTAGTGAATAACATCTATATCTATATCTAAACAACAAAGTATAACACACTTCTTCTTAAATTGGATTTGTGTCCACATTGGTTAAATAAGCTACTCCTTATTTGTGGCAAAGACACAGATCACATTTCAGTGTGGTCTCTGAAGGTTCTGGTGTGGGAAGAAGTGCTTTCAGCTTTGGAGCTTGCTTGCATCATTCTATATACCATGGTGATTGTGGGCATTTTATTTACCACCTGGAAAAATTAGGCTGAATTAATGATCCTTTAAGAACTCAATTAGGATTAATGACTACATAGTACCACAGCTGTGACATAATCCATTGTAGAAAAATTACTAAGCTAAAAACACCTATTCTATTATCTTTCCTTCACAGAAGGTTCCAGAATACATCTCGTAGCTTGGAGTTCACCAGCCTATATAGGCACTGAACTCATCTAGGGCTTTCCAAAGATAACAATGGCCTAAGTTTTTCTAAAAGATGGCCACTACTCCTAGGACTGCCCCTGGAGCTATGCTATGCCAACGGGGGAGCGGCTGTCTTCTATGTATATACTTACTGTCTGTCATCCCTTTTCTTGCCAGAACTTCACAAAGCGTGGGCCAAATCATTCAGGATGATGGGGAATAGAAGAGGAGAGTAAAACATGCTGGTTAGGTGCCCAAGGGGGATGACTTGGCTGCTTAAGTGGGAAAAGGAAGGTCAGTCACACGTGGGTCCTGGTAGTTGAGTGGCCCCATCTTAATCCCTGGCCACTCAGGGAAACACTTTAGGGTGTTTCTGTGCCAGTATCGTAGAAGGAGAAGATGAAGCCATCTTTCTAAAAGTCTGACTAAAAAGGAAAGATTATTGCTGCTCTGAAAATAAAACCCATTAACTGAAATATCTGTTTTGGTTGCTAGAATCATGATTTATTCTGAGGGACTATCTCAAATGTTGAGTTCTAAATATTTCCAACTGGTAAAATCCTAGATACTAGGACTGTCACTGCAGTAAAATTGTCATTGCAATGGGCTTCAGAGAAAGAAAACCTTCTAAATTAATGCGGATTCCTCTACTTTCTGTGACTGACACCACAGAGTTTATAATGGTACATGTGGCAATGCATGTATATCAAACCATCACATATATACAATTTAAATAGTTACAGTTTTATTTGTCAATTCTACCTCAATAAAGCTGGGGTGTGGAAGGGAACTAAAAGTGTTTATTTCCATAACAAAAAAGGTATACATGGATTCATTTTTCTTTAGACTAGAAAATAATAATTTATTGACTGAACCCAGCGTGCAATATTCCAAACTGCCTGAGCTAAACAGACCTAGTCTATTATCTTTGCTTCACAGAAGGTTCCAGAATACACCTCCAGCTTGGAGTTCATCAGCCTGTATAGGCACTGAACCCATCTAGGGCTTCTCTGTACAGAACAGAGAAGACAGCCGCTCCCCCCGTTGGCATGGCATAGCTCCAGGGGCAGTCCCAGGAGTAGTGGCTGTCTTTTAGGAAAACTTGATGAAACTGTTATCTTGGGAAAGCCCTAGATGAGGGCTTTCAGTGCCTATTTATCCTTAGTTTCTGAGGATACTTGGTTTAGCATATTAAGGGCAAAGACACAATTGAACAGAAGTATCAAAAGTAATCTGTTTTTTAGTTCAAAATGTGAAATCAGCCTTACCCACTGCACCCGATGACTTTATTGTACAGATAAGATGGCAAGCCTTTCAGGTTTATGTTGTTATCCACGTATACATATTGTAGTTCTCGAGATCGACCTAAATCTGAATGAAAAAGAAAAGTGCTATAATTCCTATTTACAGTCACCATTATGTGAAATACAAAATTTAACATATAATATTAGAAATATCCAAAAATTTCTATTCTGGAAGAAAATCATAAAAAGTGTTATATAAAGTAAGTTATGGGTCAGCCTAAACAAGCCTAGTTCTGCCCTTTGATAGATTCTTTGCTTGGCCAAACTTCAGTCAGGTTCCTGAACTTTCTTCTAAGTCCATCTGTGGACCTTGTAAAATCCAGTTTTAGCCAAGAACTCTTCTAAGTCAGTTTAGCAAGAACCCCTTACTCAGGATATCTGATTGGGTTCCTCCTTTCTTCCTCGTCCCCTGGGTCTGATCACCCTGGCCTGTCTCCAGCAAGAATTCCATTTGGTCAGTCATCCCTTTTCTTGCCAGAACTACATATTGTGTCCTTATTCCTGAAGTTTCCTCTGAGCAATTTTCCATCCACTGACCACCTTGCTCCTTGGCTGTAAATTCCTACTTGCCCATGTTATACTTAGAGCTGGCCCAATCTCTTTCCCCAACTATAAGACCCAGTTGCAGTGGTCCTTGTACCTAGGCTGATGGTCTCAAAGTCTTCCTTACTATGCTTTAACAAGTGCTACAGAGTAACTTTTCCTTTAACACCTTATAAAGAGATTTCCTGTGTCTCACGTCCCATGGGCAAAGGTGGATGGGGGAGGGCTAGGCATCAGACACTGGCTAGTAAAGGGTTTTATGATCTAGGCAGATTTAAGAATAGATAGAACTTCCCCATGAGGAAGAAGTGAAGCAGAACCCAAATCCCAGTCCTGTGAGATGTGACAGTGACATAGACAAAACTTAAGGGCCAGAGAGCAGAGGCTGTAATGGGTATGAACCTGGAAAGGGAGGAAACTGAGAAAGGGAGCCCCTAAAGAAGGATCTACAGGAATGTCAGAAAGAGGCAGAACTCAGGTATTTCCCAGAGGTGGCAGGGCGGTGAGAGGGCAGAGTGGAAGAGGATCCAATGAGGAAATAAGGATGAAAGTACAGATGGAGATTCCTGACAAGTACAGGTAGTAGAGACACTTCCCAGGTATCCAGGCCATCCCTTCCCACGTGCCCAGGAATGTGTGACCAGCTCTCCTCTCTACTCCTAAACACTCACTGACTAGGGCTATTTGTTTTTATTGCTACAGAGGTACACAACAGTGTCCTGAGCAGTCCTGCTAACCCTCTGCTCTAACATAATATGGCAGGGCTGGTGGGTGGTGGTGCTTATGCCTGTAATCCCACCACCTTGGGAGGCCAAGGCGGGCAGACTGCTAGAGCCAGGAGTTCAAGACCAGTCTGGGCAACATGGTGAAGCCTTATCTCTACCAAAAAAAACCTAATTAACCCGGTGTGGTGGCGTCTATCTCTAGTCCCAGCTACTTGGAAAAGGTGAGAAGATTGTTTGAGCCTGGGAGGTCAAGGCTGCAATTAGCCAAGATCATTCTGCTGCATCCAGCTTGGCAACAAAGCGAAACCCTGACACAAAATTTTGAAAAAAGAGAGACAGAGAAAAAGAACATAGTCTTTGAAAGGTTTTCTAGGGTTTTGCTTATGAAAATAGAAAACAGGCTGAAGGAGAGCTCATCCTCCTAATCTTTCTTTAGGAAAGTCAAAGGCCCAGACAGCTAAATTAGGAGGTTTTTAGATTCATTCACATTGCAAAAGAAAACCCATTTAACTGTTAAGGACCTTTAGGCACTATGCTAAGCCTTGGAAATATAGCTATGAATACAGCATTAACCGATGTGGAAACAGACAGGAAAAACAGTAACTGTAATACAATTTGATCACTGCTATTAGAGAGGCTGGTTGAGGGTCTTATGGTTCACAGATGGGTTCTAGACAATTTGTCCCAGAAAGCAGGAGGAACATAATATAAAGTTAAGGTAAGAAAGAGTTTCCTGTGGGAGAGGGTAGGAAGGGTTACATTACTTCGTGCTGGTCCTATTACAATCATTCTGCACAGTTACAAAAAGGCAACAGAATTTCCCTCAAAAAGGTTACAACAATTTACACCCCCACCAGCTACACTGAGTGCACCTGCTTCCCTACAGGAAGCAAAACGTCATCTTTTTACATTTTTGCCATCCTTATAGGTAAGAAAAGGTATCTTGACATTGTTTTAACATGCATTTTTCTACTTATGAGTTTGAGCATTTCAAACTATGTCTGAGGGGCATTTATATATATTTTGTAAATTGCCTGTTTAAATCTTCTCATTTTTTGATCAGGTTTTTGGTATTTCATCCCTTGTTTTTTAAGAGTCATTTATGTATCAGGGACATTAGTTCCAGGTCTCTGGTTTATGTTACAAATGCTTTCAGTTTGTCAGCTGTCATTTAACTTTTTTTCCATGTAAAATTATGAAAAGTCTTTTCCAACTTATCTTCTTTTTTTAAATTGTCTCCAGATTTTGAGTCGTAGTTAGGAAACCTCTTCCCTGTGACACCAAGTTTAAGCAGAATTCACCTATGTTTTCTTCAAGTGTTTATATGCTTTCATTTTCCTTTTTCTTTTTTAACATACAGAGCCCTAATTCATTTGGAGTCTATTCTTACATATGGCATAAAAAGTACAGCTATTAATTCCTTTTTTCAAATGTTGATTCAGCTGTCTTAGTGTCATTTATGAACTTTTTGGTCCATTTTTACTCCAGTACACCAAAAAGAAAAACAGATCTCTAAGACTTCAAAAAAAAAAGTTGTAAAGTGTACATATTCCAGAAGAGAACTGTGGTGTTAATCAAACTGTAAATATGTAAATAAATGAAAACCCCAAAGATTTCACATACACACCTAAAAAACTAGTAGAATTTATCAATTAATTCAGTATAGCTACAGGATACATTTCAACATATAAAACTCATAGTATTTCTATAACAAGTAACAACCTATCAGAGAAAGAAATCGAGAAAACAATCCTATTTATAATAGTATTAAAAAAAATACCTAGGAATAAAGTAACCAAGGAGGTGAAACATTTGTACGTTGAAAATTATAAAAAACTGATGGGAAAAATTGAATAATACACAAATAAATGAAAAGATGTCCAGTATTCATGGATGGGAAGAATTACTATTGTTAAAATGTCTGTACTACTCAAAGCAATATACAAATTTAATCGTTATTAAAATTCCAGTGGCATTCTTCACAGAAATAGAAAAAAAAATCCTAAAATTCATACAGAAGTACAAAAACAAACAAACAAACCAAATAGCCAAAGCAATACTGAGACAGAAACATAAAGCTGGAGGCATATCATTTCCTGATTTAAAATTACATTACAAAGCTATGGTAACCAAAACACTATGATGCTGGAATAAAAACAGAAACCTAGACCAATGGAACAGAACAGAGAGTCCAGAAATGAATCCAAGCATATATGCGTACCAAGAGGACATAACAGGGAACAGAAACTGTCTTCAATAGATGATGCTGGGAAAGCTGGATTTCCACATGGAAAAGAATAAAACTGGACCCTTATCTTACACAATACACAAAAATCAACTCAGAATAGATTAACAAAACTAAATATAGGACCTAAAACCACAAAGCACCTAGAATAAAACATAGGGGAAACGCTCCTTGACACTGGCCTTGGCAATGATTTTTTTGATACCACACCAAAAGCTCAGGCTTTTTGGTGCGAAAACAAAATATTTTTGGTGCAAAAAACAAAAATAAATAAAGGAGACTACAAATTAAAAAGCTTCTGCACAGTAAAGAAAACAATTAACAAAACAAAAAGGCAACCTACTAACTGGAGAAAAAATAACTGCAAGCCACATAACTGATAAAAGGTTAATACACAAAATTTATAAAGAACCCTTAGAACTCAATAGCAGAAAAACAACCTGATTAAATAATTGGCAAAGCGTCTAAACATTTTCCCAAAGAACATATACAAAAGACCAACAGCTGTATGAAAAGGTGCCCAACATCACTAATCATAAGGGAAATGCAAATTAAAACCACTATGAGATTATCTCCTCACACCTAAAAGGATGGCTATCATAATAAAGATAAGAGATAACAAATGTAGGTGAGGGCATGCAGAAAAGGGAACCCTAGTACGTGTTAGTGGGATTGCAGATTGGTGCAGCCATTATGGAAAACAGTATGGAGGTTCCTAAAGAAATTAAAAATAGAACTACCACATGACTCAGCAATCCCTCTTCTGGGGAATATCCAAAGGATTTACAATCACCGCCTCATAAAGACATCTGCACTCCTATGTTCACTGCAGCATTATTCACCACAGCTAAGATACGGAAACGATGTCAATGCCCACGGATGAATGACTAGATAAAGAAATGTGGTGTGTATACATGATGGAATATTTTTCAGCTTTAAAAAAGAAAGATTCATGCCACAACCTAGATGAGTCTGGAAGATATTATACTAAATAAGCCAGGCACACAAAGAAAAATATTGCACAATGCCACTTATATACATAATACTTTTTTAAAAAGAGCTTAAATACACAAAGAGAATGAAACAGGGGTTACCATGTGGGAAGAAGGTAAGAATGGAAAATAGCAGATATATAGAATGAACAAGTTTAGAGATCTAATGTACAACATGATGACTATGGTTAATAAACTTTTACTGTATTACAGAATTTTGTTAAATAAATTTTAGCCGCTCTTGTCATGAAAACTATGTGAGATGATATGTTCATCTGTTTGTCCACAGTAACCACTTTACTATTTGTTTGTATCCCATAATATTGTGTTATAAACTTCAAATATACACAATAAAATTTATTTAAAAAAATATATAACCTTCTGCAATGGAACATAACACTGAATAGAGGTCATACAATTTGGAAAGGAAAAATGTGTACCCCATATACAGGTTTTTATGCATTTTTTAATGGGTAATGGTTTTAATGAAAATATTTTTGATGAGTATGCTTCCATTAAAGCTAGAGAAGTAAATTTACAATGAATTCTGGCTTTATTATAA